AATTAAAGGCTGCCACCATTTTGCTTGCTCCATCGCGCAGACGCCGTTGAATACAATAGGCATCATACAACTCCTCAACCTGAAAATCAACAAATGTAATGTAATGATCACAAGATTGATCTTTGCCACCATTGTATATTGTAAAACATACCTTGCTGAGGTGGAATTCAAGACGACGCATGAATCTTTCTATGGCCTTGACTTGCTATAATAGATTAAAAATTCATATTATTAGTAGATACAGATTTCTAAATTTTCCTATTGTTGGTCAGTATTTCTGATGTGTACAATTAAATTTCAGTTTCAGTTTTAAAATCCTAATGCCAGAGTGATGAAACTGACCTTGTCGAGTTCATACAGTGACCCCTGTGAATAAATAAAAATAATTTGCATTTAAATACAGCCAGACACAAGACTTAACCAGCTGATACTGGAGAGACTGATTTGACACTCACCAAGCGGCCATTCCTTTTGTTTTCTCTACTCTGCTGCCCCAGACTGTCCAACTCCAGCTGATGGACCTGTAGGTATGACCTATAACAGAACATAACCACCATTTTGAGGATTCAAAGTCAATGCTATTTCCTGCTTATTCTGTCTGGCTTGTGTCTACAGTCTTTAATGTTAACAAAATCTAATGTTTACTCACTGTAGTCCTCTGCGTAGAGCTGCATACACTTCATCCAACCTCTCAGGCTGAGGTGTTTTAGTGGGAGGCAGTTTGGTGGAGCCTGTGAACATCCTGCTTCCTCAAAGCTTGTGCTTCTTTAAGATCAAACTGTGCTGAAGACATAGATAGGTCCATTAATAGAACTACTACTACCTTATACTGCATTGTGTGATTTGTGAGAAGTAGTAGTAAGTATAGTATATGGAAATATTTATGAAGTGGAGGACCACATGTCACAACTGTACTAACACAGTACAAGTATTTTCTTTCAAATGAAACCATGCTGAAAGCGACAGACAGAAGCATTAGGTAATTTGTGATACCTGCCATTAGATTACTACTACAACTACTGCTACTATAGAAACAGAATAATGACTGTCATGCTCCTCACCTGTTCAAACAGTTGGATGTAGCACTTTACCAAAGTGACGGACATATCCTGTAATTAGACAAACATTTTAGTGGCAGCACTGTCCTGCTTTACCTGCTCTTTACAGAGCAATTTTCCCTTTGGCCTGTCATTATCAACTATGCTTAAGATAACAGAAAAAAAAATTAAATGGTGTTTGAAAACTGACTGTTTTTGACCAATGTGATACCTTTTTGTGACCAGGCAGAGCCCAAGTGCCACCAGACAGAAGACTAGGGAGTCTGAACTGCTCGTGCTACTCTTCCCCTTCCTTTCCTATTTCTCCACCCCCTCCATATCCAACAGGAAGTTTGCCGGCTGACTCCAACAGGAAATTCTAAACAGAATATAAAAAATGCCTTAACAATATGTGTGACTTATAACTAACTTAACTAACGCTATGCATATTTTTAGAACATAAGAAAAAAAGGGGAGGGGGGCTAATCTAGTCACAAAAGAGATTAGAGACTTAAACCAAACTAAATCTGTCAAGCAACAGGCAAACCCACATAACACGTGGGATGAGAGCAAAAGCCTTGCGATGCGTTCAGCATGATGTTTTACAAGACGAAAGAATAAGGCTATTTATATGAACTTGAAAGGGCCACTCATTACAACCAACAAAACACAGATTAGCACCTTTTACATGTTAAATGACTGGTTTAACATGTATACAAGAGTGTAAATGTGCTATTCACCTCCGGTTTGGGGGTGCTCTTAGCTGGAGGTCTTAATAACCCAGTAATAAATCCTAGGATTAACTGTGGTTGGTCTGGGTTAAAAGGTGGAAAAGAAAGTGCTGCACTGTCTTCCATATGGTTTGATCCCAAAAGTGATATTGAATGTTTGATTAAAGTTGAGGGAATTATCAACAAAGTGATCATGATAAAACCAATAAAACACACACACAACCTGGACCCCGAGATTAAAAGGCAGAATGACAGCTGTAACCTTACATTCAGCTACAGTCCATTATCCATTTTGCTCTCGTTCCACTGTGCTTTGAACATTACATTAGGAATAATTAGTTGGATAAATCCTCTCCTCCAAGCAGAGTAAACAAAGACGACACTGTCTACAATCACCTCACAAGACTGCAGTTTTGTTTAAAAACAGAGACACACACTCTCACACTCTCCATCTCATATAATGCTGTTAAGGTAGCAACAATGTCCTCTTTAACTCTACTTTTAACACTTTCAGTACCATGGATAGTAATAAAGTGTGATGTCCAAGTTACAAAACAAGTTATAAAAACAAAATTTGCCCATATGAATTGTGTATCTTAACTGAATCAAACGCCCGTGAACAATCAACATGCATATTTTGACAGAAGTCAGCAGCATCTTTATGAATTGTCATGTGAGAGTTAAAGTAACACAGACACATTGTTGCGTATATCCTGGGGCAATGAATCACTCAGTGTCTAATCTGCGTGTCAAAGAGCTAGACGAGGATAATCGAAATAACGCTTTCAATAAAATACTACCACCTACATCCAAGATGAAGATAAAGCAAAAAAAGCATCTGCAAGCCACCAAGATTGAAAGGCGCAATACGCCCCTGCTATTCGCTTCGCTTGGGCCCAACAGTAAGGCAAGAAGGATGAAGGAGTTCACACAACAAACTTGGGAAACAGTGTCGGGCTGCATTTAGTATTCAGCTCCCACCCCAGAGCGCACCGCAGGCCACAAAAACTCCATACTCACCCCCACCTAGACCCCCTAATGCCCACCGATCTTACCCTATTCATTTACTAGGCTTAAAGAAACACCCAGTCCACACCGCATAAGGAAAACGGTGAATCACAGCCAGCTGGTTGCTATAATAATGCTCCTCGGAAAAAGGCAACTTCAGGTCGGACGGACTCGTGCCCAATGCCCATGTAGAGGAAAATGTACAGCGGATCTTTGGCCAAAAAGGAGCCGTTCCTACCTTTGTTTTGCGGTCCGACCACACAGAAATAGTGGGTCGCGTCCCATTTCTGCCGCACAATGTTTTTGCACAATTTTACAGTTATTTGGGCGCTGTCCTCCTTCTCCCAGATTTCGCAGTTCTTCTTGGTGAATCTACTGTGAAGCGAACGTGAATGAACCAAGCATTTCCGATTTGTGCCTTTTGCAATAAAAGCCTGAGTTATGGGAATCACAAACATGGGCATATTAAAACAAGATTTAATTTAAATTGCAAACTGTCCAGGGCATTCTTCAAAAAAGGTTTATCATCCGTCCATGTCTCATAGTCACTACAATTGTGCAGGTTAATATTCGCATTTATTATAGTAGATCATGAAAACACTTTTAGCCAGTCAAATCTCAAACATTGATTTATATAAAACGTCCATGAGGCACTGGGCATAATCATTTTGCTAAATTTTAACACAACTGCCCCACTGAAGTGCGTTGTGATTGTGGTGATTGTGATTTTTTGTGAGTTTTGCGTGGTGTTGCGTCAGAGTTTTATTTTATTGTGAAAGGTTGACCATCACTTCGGAAATCATGCTTGGTTTAGTTACTGTGGCAACAAGGATGTCCCTAAACGATGAGAAGTCTTGTCACTTTTCCCTGAAGCCGCCGCGGCTCCTGCGGAAAAAAACAAAACAAAATAAAAAAAAAAACAAAACAAAAAAAACAAAAAACAACGGAGCTCTGTTTCCCTGGCGAGGTAACTGAAAAGATCTCACCCGGGTCGCAAAACCATATAGCCTCTAAACTTACACGACTAATTGTGGGGGTTTCCTTCAGAATTTCATTAGGGTGCCGTATAAAGTAATGTGTTAACTGCTAGCTAGAAGTAAACGAAGCAACAGGTTCATTTACAAAGGTGCCATTCTGCCAAATACAGGCGGTATAATTTATCTATGGCCAAATCTTTACCACATTGGTGGGCGATTTTACCACTGATCTATTAAAATAAAGTAACTTCATTGATAGGTCTTTTTCTAGTTTCTAACAACGCAATTTTACATTGACTTTTTAATAGATTTTGGGAGAGAAAAGTCAAGACTACATTAGCCACCATACTGTGAATTAACATACGATTTATTGCGATGAAGAAAAGAGGAAGCGAAACAAGATTTAATAACAGTTCGTCTGTTTAATAAAATATAATTGCAAGCAAAATACAGAGATTCTGTGTTAGCATCAGCCAAGTTCTGAAAAATACAATGCCATCATTGAACTGTAACATAACCACTCTTCCAAACCACACAGTTAAAAACATTGGTAATTAATAGTTACTGGTGCAGGATGGTTTCACAGCTATACATTTCATTTTGCCTCAAACTTTAAAAATATTATTCAGCACTACCAGTTGTACAAAAGGCAGCATCACCCAAGAGTGGAATGGCTACAAAAAAAGCTAAACTAATATTTTCTTGCACCTAATCCATGTCTATAGTACATATGCATCTAGGATTACAATAGCGCATAAGATAAGCAGTCTAGAAGCATTTAAAAACTAGTACAGACTCACACAGAAACTATCCAATATCATGTATGGCTACATTTAACACCAGGATCCCCTTTGAAAACTGACATGATGCTGTAATAACCAGCAAGTACAGTTCCAGTTAGTTTTTAAATCTAATCTGAGAAAAGTCTCTTCAGAAAAGATGGTGTAATGCAATCAAACCCGATAAAGACTGAAAAATAACTTCTACAGGTTGAGGACACAGGCATTAAATGCAGCCATTTTTTACCCCATTCATCATTTTGGTATGCAATTCTGTTGCAAGATCTGTACCACAGTTTGGATACATACATGATTAAAAATGGTTGATTTTACAGTGATTTCTGTGCAGGTTGCAAGTTTCAATCTAAACACATGTAATGTGAAAGAGGGGCCGTCTATACAGCAGGCCATCACCGGTCCATCATGCTGAGGATCATCTCAGGGGTCAGATCTCCATTTGGCGGGGCCTCTGTCAACTGCGGATCCTGCACAGCTTCTTCCACTTGGGACAGCTCTTCCATCTGAATTGTAGCGTTTCCTTCACCAACAATCACCTCTTCTGCGATGTCATCTTCCTGTTCCGCTCCTACCTCCTTCTTCACAATAATATCATTCACTTCCCCAGTGACCTCATCCTCCACCCGAATGATGGCAGCAGCTACAATGCAGCAATTAAACATTCAGGTTTGTGTTTTCCCAGTTATTACCCATTTAAAACACATTCTGCTGTACCCCCCGTTAACTGACCTAGAAGACTCACCTTGTGGCTTGTTCTTTGGGGTCTTCCACGTTTCCTCTTAACTGGGGGCTCTGGGGCTGGTACAGGAGCAACTGGTGAAGCCTGTTCCATCTCCATCTCAGCAAGGAGATCCTCCTCATCCTCCTCCTCCATTTCTGGGAGGGCAAATAATTGTTCACACATTTTCCATTAAGAACTTCCATCCCAAATTGATACAACTACAAATCAAATATCCATTTTATACCAGTATCATCCTCCTCATCATCATCATCCCTCTTTGACTGCATCTTCCTCTTCCGCCCCCGACGTCCCTTTTTGGGTGGAGTTCCATTTTCATCACCTGTATTTTCACCTGTGCAATTGTCAGCATGGCGAAGCATGGTGTTCTGCAATCAGAAGCATTAGATTAAGAACATGCTTTGCAATCAGAACATTAATTATAATATAGAGGAAGTAGCCATCTTACTCTGCGGGTAAATGTTTTGCTGCATTTGCTACATACAAATGCTGTAGGAACAAAGTTTGGATCGTGGTAGCGCTTGAAGTGCATGTCCAGGAGCTGTTTCTGCCGAAAAGTCTTCTCACACTGACTACAAGCAAACGGCTTCTCTCCAGTGTGTGTTCGCTTGTGCATCACCATGTGACGCTCCTACAAGCAAAGCAATAGTTCATTACTTGTTTGAGACACAAAGCCTAACCAGTGCTCATGAAAATACCTGTCTACAACAGTAGTCACACATGTCACACTTGAAGCGTTTCTCATTCTTATGAGTCTTCTGGTGCTGAATTAAAGCATATCTCTCATGGAACACAGCATCACAATAACGGCACTTTTTCCCAGTTTCAATAAATGAGTGCTGCTTCCTCAAATGTACACCTAAGATGAAGAGGTCATTAGTTACAATTGGCAACAAAGATGACAGATTTACAACTACGTACATACCAAGATCACTCTTTCGCGCAATAACCGTGTCACAGTGTGGACAGTGGAATTTTGCCACATTCTCTGTGTGTTTCTGGAGAATGTGCATCTTCATAGTACCACTCTGTGTAAACCGTGCATGACAAATGTAGCACTCATAGGGCTTTTCACCTGTAACCAAATATCAGTCTTATTCAGGGTTTTGCTCCAGTGTCTGCCCCTGACAAGCTCACAAGCATCTTACCTGAATGAGTCCTCATGTGTCGCTTTAGCTTGTATGTGTCTCTGCTCGCATAACTGCACAAAGCTGCACTGGAAAGGCCTCTCTCCAGTATGGGAACGAATATGCCTTTTCAGCTTACTGACCTAAAACACAAAATGCATTTTTTTTTTTTTTTAAAAGGGGAAAAAGCAGAGCTTCAACTGACTTTAACATGCCTGAATGTTTGCTGTAACAGTAAAATGTCCCTGCCAGTATGTTTGTCAGCTTCAGTCAGAGACATTAAACAGTGATGATTTCCTCATGTACTGCTGGAGCTGCTTTGTGGTACAATTTGCAGTGGTGTCAGCTAAAGAAAGCTAGTGTACCAACTACAGCTACAAAGAGAAGAAAGTTCTGAGTCAGCCCTATTCTTTGCAAAAAATTAATAAGAAGCCTTTATTTTTTTTGATAATTCCTTTTAGATGTTTGATCAATGTAATGTGACAGTAATTAGGCCTGGATATTGCTTAACAGTTGAGAGTCTGAGGCCAGAACAAATACTGGACTAGTAACTTAACAGGGTTGTACATACCTCCACACTAGAGTAATCGCACATCGAGCACTTGAATGGCTTCTCGTGTGTATGTTTATAGCGACGGTGGCGGACCAGCTCTCCACTTGTCACAAAAGCCATGTCACAGTCAGTGCATTTATGAGGCCGTGTACCTACACATTAGAAATCTGTTAACTCTAGCTATAACCATCAGAAAATAATGTAAAAAGGCCAATGCCTTGAGAAAGGGAGTACCTGTGTGAGTGTTGAGGTGGTTTCTGAGCAGCGTGACTGTTCTAAAGGCCCTTCCACACAAGTGACATTTGTGTGGCCTTTCATCTGTGTGGCTCTTCATGTGACGGTCCAGGTTAGAGCGACGAGGACAAGTGTAGCTACACAACTCACACTGAAAGGTCTTCTTAACACCTACAAATAAAAAGACATTAAAAAGGGCATCATTAATGACATCCAGAATGGACTCAACCCAAAAAAAAAAAAAAAAAAAAAAAAAACCCAAACAAACAAACAACCTTTCTTCTTTATTTTTGTGGGCTTAGGTGGTTTCATGTTGCCAACAACTTTCTCAGCATTCACTTCAGACAGCAGCCCCTCTTGCTGCTCTTCTTCAAAGTCATACACAGACACATCCATGTCTCTGTCCCCCTCAGCATAACGCAATCTGCTCTTCTTTCCCTTCTTTACTTTGCGGACAGTTGTAATGGGCTGATAATCTGGGTCTTCCTGGTCCTGAGGGGGCATCTCCTCTCCAATGTTCTCATCCTCTTCCTCTTCTGCTGCTTCCTGAAGTTCCTCATGGGTTGCCTGGAGTTCCTCATGCTCCACAGTCTCCACTTCACCATTGGCACCTACTTTCACCACCTGAAAGAAAATGTTTACATTAGCTGGTAGAAATGCTGTTTAAACTAGAGGTACATTGTGATCCCCAGAAACACTTTCTTACCTGAAAGCCTTCAGGCAAAGGCAGTGTGTGACATATGACAGGTTCTGCATCCTTGTTAGCCGCAGTAGCCTCAACATAAGTTGCCTGAAGACCCTCAACTGTTGTAGTTGAGACGGGCACCTGCACCAACTGAAGCTGCCCAAGTCCCAAAGCAGCACCAGCCTGCTCCTCCATGTTAACTACCTGCATATCCCCCAAATTTTATATATATTTTAATCTTTTAATACTTGTCCATTACATTTCAACACTAAAGGCATCACTTACCTGAAGTGTAATGATTTGACCTTCATCTCCACCAGTTACGGTTACAGTGCCGCCCCCTTCCAGTACTTCAGTCTTCATTTGTAAAAGAGTTGGGTCTAGTGCATCCATGACCATCATCTCCATGTTGCCAGTCACCTCTCCCTGCTGAGCTACAGCTGTGCCCTGTAACAGAGCCTCTCCACCCTCTGATAGGACTTTTCCATCAACAGCAGCATCCATGGAAACAACCTCGCCCTCCATGGCAATGGGCCCCGCAGCACCCTGATAAATGAAAACGGTCAAGACTCTACAAAATACTTTTCTAAAACAATTATAACTATGTGCACTTATAGTAACTATGTTCACTTATAGTGCCGCGGCAGCCCCTTGTGGCCATGGGACTGTATTAAGTAAATAAGTTTATGGACGTATTAGAAATGGTAGCGATCAGACTTTAAAATCAGAAGACAGATAAAATAAACGATTTGTGGATAGTTTTGGGATATGTACAATACACTTGGTACCCTTGATTTTAGAACAATGTCACTCCACTAATCAATGCATCAAACTTACCCTGGATGCATGCGTTGACCGAGGGAAAGTGGGGTATTATGGATTATTTAAAACTTGTGCAAATGTACAAATCCCAGCAACCACCCACTGAGGCATCTAAAGACATCACATTTAAGTTACTTGTTGGAAGTTTTAAAAAGGATCAAATTGCAAATTATTCTTTAACGCATCACTAATGAAAATAAAATGTCTAACATGATAGGTTTGGTCGACATGTATATCTTCAAATCATCTATCAAGTTGTATATTTTACAACTGAACAAAAATGCAATGTTCTCAACTACTTGTACATCAACTGTGAGTAGTTGGTTAACTGGAGAGGCGCGATACGTCTGAAAACAGGAAACAAAGGGCACGATAAGATGGACGACAGGCCTAAACTAACTTTAAACCTGAAGAGAGCAAATCAAAGCCATCCCTGCGCGTGCACACAACAATATGGCCCAAAAACGAATACATAGTCGACCGAAACATCAAGTTTCACTTTATGGACGGATTTTGTGAATTTTGGATAACGATAGAGGGAGACAAACACCCCCGCCAGCCTGTAAGCACTACCGTGACACCTAGAGGCCGACGACAGATCCTACAAAAACCTTTACATGTTTAGGGGCAAAGTGAGCGTTTTACTTACCGTTCACTGCTTCTGATTCTGGTTATATTCACTTGGAAGACGAATGAGTACCCTTGATCCCTTCAATCCTGCTGCCGATGTACGAGCGAGCTAAGCACCAGCCTTAAAATTTTCTCCCGCTTTGGGAGAGTGGGCCCTGCATAAAATGGCGGCCCATATGAGCTTCTCCGCATGCGCACTCGCCCTCCCAGAAGGGTTGAGAGGCGTGGTCTGTGGGTGCCGCAGCTCATCGGGCGCCACTTTTGAATTTAGCGGCACTGTGGCGCTCCACAAGCTGTTAGTCATTATAATTAGCTTTGAAAGACCATAAACAAGTCAACAGTGACCCTAATTGTGAGGGATTTTTATTTTTATAAACAGCTGTTGAATAGGCTGGCCGCGGGCCTAACTGACCTAAGTTTTAAATCGTAATTTTTAAATCAGCCACAAGAGGGCACACAACTATAACAAAAATACTAACTACAGCATATTATCTGTCACAATCAGTATTCCATAAGTAATAACATAACCATAACTTCCATGATTATAACATAAAGGTGTTTGTTGGAGTTTATAAAATATATACCCTTTAAGTTATTAATATTTGCTCCCACTGTCCTATTTTTAAATGTATTATAAACAGAAATTAATGATACAGATGTGGGTCATCGGTAGAGCTCAGGTCCCAGGTATTTAAACCGACATAACTTCAAATAAATAATAAATAAATTAAAATGTTATTACCAAAATGTCAACAATCATGTAATGAATTATGCTACTGAAAGATATAGTATTTTTTGTGAAGTCTATATTGCATCTATATTGCATCTTATCTAATATAAATATATGCATATATACATGATATGTGATACAATTTTCACTGTACATGATGTTCACTTATTGTTATTTGTATCTTAATTTGTCATTCTGAGCTTTGCAAGCATCTTTTCCGAGTGTTAAATTAATAATTTATATATTACATAATGCACAGACTATTTAATTTAACTCAGATTAATCGTCTTTTAATTTTGTATAAAAACTATTATTCTTTTTTTCTAAAATTGACTAGAAATAATTTTAAATAAAAGCGGCTATTGCTACTTTAATCTAAACCTGCTTCTCCACATTTGATCAAGCTCTTTTTTTCTCATGTCTGTCTTTTCCAGGGGAGGGGGCTGAGAAAGGCGAGGCTCTGTTGTCAGATGTGTCAGTCTGGCCCTGTGTCCCGCCCATTTCACTGAAGGCATTACATACTGCTCCAGCTCTTAGCAACCGTGCCTCGGCAACAGAGCCAAGGCAACAGCGTGCCGTGTCTCCCCAATGGAGCTGCCATTGGGCGGACCAGCGCTCCGGCACTACACCCAGAGCAGACCGAGACCTCATCGTCAAAAGCTGAATTATCGTCCCACCAGACTACAGGTACAGTGTGACAGAGGACCGGAGAGAGAGGTGATATTTGAGAAATCAGGTGTGGTGTGGGAAAAGGAAGCGGCTTGGAGTGAGAAGAGAAATGGAATAGGGGATAGAGGGGAGAGGCAGGGGGAAGGGAAGGATAGAGGGGGAGTGCTGGAGAAGATGCCTGGTCCCTGCTGCTTGAATAAGGCATTCCCATTGTATCGGTCACCAGCTGTTCGAAGCCACTGACTAGAATTTTCAGCGTTCTAGAAAGTGATTATTGGATGCATGGTGCTTTTATATTAGCAAATAATACTTTCTTATTTCCTTTGCAGAAAATTTGGGATACATTATTCTGTAGCTCTCCATACAGTTGTGAGCCACATTTGTTTCTTATCCTGTAGAAATACAGCACACTAAGTCCCAAGGAGGCAACGGCCAGTGAGACCAGATTTAAGTAATTCCCCAGATAGGATATCATGTAATGATGACTGCTAAATTGTGTCGTGCAGTCAGCCGTGTGGCTTTTATTGCATCTTGTAGGCATAAATGTTAACATGATCAGGTGATACAATATTGTATAACTCCATTGTGATATCATATTACTCACATTGGCAAAATGAGTTGTCTCTCTGCTCTCATTCCTCATATAAAACCTAGCAACGCCCCCTTATTGTACGTTACTGAGCAACTGAATCCCGAGAGGCTGGTTTGTAATATGGAAGTGGGTAATAGATTGAACCAAAATGTACCTATAGTGGAAAAGGCTAAGGTTATGCAATGTAAAGTTGGATGGAGTGAGCACTTAGTGTTTGTTTTCTGTGCATGTGCTAATTAGGAGACCATAATCGAGTGTGAAAATGAAGACTTTGAGCTTATGGGGCGAGTCGATGAAGGAGTTGAAGAGTTCTTTACAAAGAAAGTACTTCCCACTGAAACACTGTGAGTATCTTCAACTGTCAATTTAGCCTTATAATTATGCTTGCAGTGTTTAGAATGTGATGCAAAAGCCTCATCAAAACACTTTTATGTAATATTGATTTTTGAATAGAAAAAAAGAAGATGATGATGAAGAAGAAATCATCACAGTGCACGAAGTGGCTCCTGCAAGCACTGCCCCTTGTCCACCACCAACTAAAACACTCAGGAGGAAACTTGGTGATTTTTTTACTCTTAAAAAGAGGCGTGCTCTAAAATCCGAGCCAAGCCAAGAGGGCCGTCCAAAAAAGGCATCAATTGCTGATTTTATTCGGCCTCTCAGGGAAGTGGCCAGAGGTGAAAAGGATAAAGATAAAGACAAAGTGAAGGAACATGACAAGGAAAATGAAAAGGAAAAGGAAAAGGAGAAAAGCAAAGATGGAACTGACACTGTGGAAGGTGTTCAGGGGATGCCTATTTCTGATGCTCCACCAATGAGAGGTGAAGCGGTGCCCCCCCGCAGGGCTCTCCGAGAGGGCAAGTCCCAGTCTCTCATTTTACTGTCTGGATCAGCCTCTGGGGCTAGTAGAAATAAGGTCAATACTAAAATACATGTATATACATATTTACTGAACATTTACTGAAAGTTACCTCCATTTCAGAAACTTGATGGCCAAAATAGTTTTGAACAGAAACTTCATCTAATGCTGCAGCGCATTGGCGTTTCTAAACCCCAGCCTGGAGAGACACAGGTGGGTATTGGGATATATATGTAGTAGCTGTTTATTCAGTCTTTTACAGCTTGGCAAGGAAATGTACAACCACCAGAACTTCATCCGAAAGGGTGTTGGTAAAAATTATAATGCCTGACCCTGTTAAACAGTGAGAAGATTTACAGAGCAAATGTATTAACAGCAAACAGTTCCACAACGTGAAAAGCTTTGATTGTATTGGGCCAGGCTCTTCCATATACTAACTCTACTAAAATACAATCAACTACTTTTTTATTAGTTCAAGTTTTTTTTTTTTTTTTAATTCCTGTTCTGCTCAAATAGCTTCATTTATTCAAATATGGAAGAAATTGTGTATTAAACAATAGAGAAAGTCTTAAAAGGGGTTTCATTTTAACCATTATGGCAACATTTTTGACCAACTTTGTCTCTTTTGTCTGAATGTTTTTCATCAATACTCAAGAATTTCTGCATGTGACTATGCATTATATTAATTTGTGTATAAATTTTCCTGTTTGTAAAGATAATATATTTAGCTCATTTGAGCTAATCTCAAACCATAAATTTTTTTTGGGAGGTCATTTTCTACTGTATGCATGATGTAGATCTTTTCCTGAGCAACAGAGGCTGGTGTCATCATCGCCATTGCCTCACAATGGGCAAAATGACAACATCACAACAATTATTTAGGCCCTAAGACTGAGCCCTGTGGAACTTCATGTGTAATGCCAGAATTTGCATTATCTATACAGTGAGGTGAGAGCAATTCCTCTGCTAGCTTCCCTTTAATTTTTTAAAGCGGCATGTGGTCAGTGGTGTCAGAGGCCTTGCTTAAATCTATGAAAACATGCACTCTGTATTTTCTATTTTTTATTTGTCACATAAAGGTTACTTGTACTTGTACCTGTTTTTTGATATAGAATCAAGAAGGAGAGATGAAAAAGGCAGAATCTGAAGGTATGTCCACAGTCCAGTGCAAAATTTTTATTTTGGGAAAGGAATAGTTTATGTTTGTAAACTGATTGATAATTTTTTGCTTTATTAGTTTTAAATAAAATCATATTTATGTTCTAGGTACTATCATTGACAATAAGCCAGAGCCAACATCTACAAAGCCTCGAACTATGTCTGCATCATCAGGTAAAATGCAACCAATAGTTCAGTGTCTTTTTTGCTTAAAGATTAATGCATTACATTAAAAACTATCTTGTTTAGATACCAGACATCAACTTCGATCCAGTGTATCAGCACATGAGTCAGCAGGAAAACCTCCTCTACTACCGAAACCAGTCATCAAGCCTTGCCCAAATGCCACGATATCTCACACTCCTGAGAATGAACTAGACCAAATAGAAGGAGACCCCAATGCACTGTCATCAAAAAGGGAAGAGGCTGCTCCAGCTGTCAGTGCAAACTCCCCTCTGACAATCTCAGACACTGTACCTGATTCAGCCACAGTTTTACCTTCAAGTAAAACTGACACACATGTATGCACAGAGTCCACTGTAGAGACCATAGCATTTGCAATTGAGGAAGAGTCGCACAGCACAGTTATCCCTGAAGCTAGCCCAACCACCACTGAAGGACCCCCTTCCCCTACATTAGAAAAAGCACTTAAATGCACCCTTTCACCTACAACACCCACCCATGAGTGTGATACTTCAAGTTTGATAGAAACTTCAACATTTACCACACCTTCCACTTCCACATTGGAAACTGTTATTTTAGAAACTGCACCAAGTGATGATAACTCTAAAACAATGGCAAATATTTCCTCTAAACTTTCGGTGCCAGAGCCAAATCCTACTGTAATCCATAGCACTCTAGACACTGCTCTAACCTCTACCAGCATATCACACATACCAGCAGGTCAATCAGACAATGTAGTTATGACTGAAAGTGATGAATCTACACTGTGTACACATGAAGGTAAAACTACTACATCTGAGGCTCTTAGCTTAAGTGATTGCTTGGTAACTGTTACTTCAACAATTGCTGTTGACAGTACCTTTGTTACCACAACAGCTTCTTCTGCCCTCTCTGAAACCCTGTCTACCACCTCTATTGCTGCCAAATCTGAAATCCCAGCATCCCCAACATACACAATCTCCCCTTCAACCATAAATCATACATTCACAGCCAGTCAGGCTTCTATCTCTGTCACCTCCATTGTCACTATTGCATCTGAAATGACTGACACCTCTCAAAACACAGCAGGGTCCACTACCAGCTCCCCAGCCATGGCAATCTCAGAGCCTTCTCCACATACTGCCATTAATCCAATCACTGTGGAAGTTTCTGCCTCTGACAATGAAAATGTTATGGCTGATCTGACCACCCCTTCAGATGAGCACTCAGACCAAAAACATGAGCTGACATCACCAACTGAAGCATCTGTCAAAGAAGATTATGTGAATTTCACTGGTAAGTTTTACACTTAGAGCTTTATTAAAATAACATTTGTGTATTGAATACAAATTATTATTAAAGACTATGTATTTAACATACTCTTCACAGCAGAAAAAGTGAGAGATGTAATCCAAATGATTGAGGAAACCAACACAGCTGAGATTAAAGAAAAAAGTGAAAGCAGCAAAGAGAGTGAAAAGATAACAGAGGAACTAACAGTGATCAGTGGTGATATAGTACAAGATAGTGAAGAGAAGTCTAAAGAAGAAACCGTGAAAACAAATGGCACAGCAGTAGCTGAAACAGAGGCATCAAATGGAGCAGGAGATGAACTCTCTGGAGATGAGACAGTGAATGAAAAGCAACAAGAAATTAAGTCTACTGATGAAAAGTAAATCCAATAATTAAAGTTTCAAAATTTGGGACCAAAAACTGTGACTTAAACAAGAGAGTCCACAGTCAACCGATGATGGGGAAATGATCCATGGCACTTCCTACACGGTCCACGGACCACCTTTATCGCAGCACACCTCAGCAGGTGGACCACGGGACCAAAGATCTGAAATCCCCTTGATGTGATGTATCAAAAAATCCAGCAAGTCCTTATTTTTATCTTTTGTTTGAAGATTTGCATTGCACGTATGATTATGTACGATAAAATAACTATTGTGGTAATTACAACATGTTTACAAATGGATATAGACAAAATTATGAATAAAAAAATCAATATTAAAATCCTTGAATAAATTGTCTTAAAATTATATTTGAAAGGGCAAAAGATAAGCATAAATAATTTTACAATTACTATTGCTCAATTTTAGAAATGAGATAGATACAGTTTTTTTCTATTATGATGGTTCTTTACAGACCAACAGGTGGCGCTGATGAATATATCACGCTGAACCTCACCGGAAGTGCAAGCCGCGGGAGGACGCACCGACGGAGCGAGTGTGCATCTGTGCATCAAACAAACCAGTATTAAGAACAGATTTACTGCTGTGATAATACACTTGTTTACTGAATATATCTCATCATCGAAAGTTTATCTACGGTCTACAGTTCGGTCGCAATGTCTGTGGGTCCCCCGAGTCGCTCTTCCGCAGGCTGGCCCCGCGGAGGAGCCGCTCAGTTCGGGAGTAAATACATGAGCGGCAGCGGCGGCCCCGCGAAGCCTCTCACACTGGAGAGGACTATTAATCTGTAAGTAATAATATGTTTAAATTTAAGGAAACACGCTTTTACTTCAGCACAACATTATATTAACATGGTACTGCTATATAATTAACCAGGAACGGTAATTAGTCGAATCAAAGCATTGTAATAGTATTGTTCGAGACCATTGTTTATTGAACAAATGAATGAGCCCAACTCAGGCTTTAAGTTGTATTTGCCAAAGCAAAATCTTAATTTATTGTCAGTAATTCCCACGCCATTTTATGTTTATGTATGTATTTACTGTATTCATTTTTAAATGTACGCGAATTTGTATTCGATAACAGTAAATTAGCTTTAAGAAAATGCAACACTGTAGATCAGGGGTGTCAAACTCATTTTGGTCTGGGGGCCGTATCCAACCGACTTTGATCCTAAAGGGGCCGGATCAGAACTCCTGTCATATAAACCCCAAAAATAACAATAAGTTCAAATATTTGTGCAGAGAAACACAAATCTATTACAGAAATCTTTTTTAATTGATGAACTCTTTCTTTTACAAAATATTATAATATTATGAACAACCTGAAACTTTAAGAAAAATACAATTTCAACACAATGTTTTAACATGAACTTGTTTAACATTAACTTGTATAAATAGGAATAAGTAATTTTTTCTTGGAAAATCCTGCACTCGGCTCCACTTTTCTCATTTTGGACATTTTGCTGATGAGGGTGTCAGTCAAAATGATCGTCATTTAAGAGCGTTTGGAAAGAGACAAGTCTTCATTTTGCTGCTCTGGTGGGAGGGGCCACGTACAGAGGCACTGGAGACGCTATGATAAGCACCACAGAAAATTAACAATATTTTAATAAAAATAGAATTAAAATATTTTAGTAGAAAATCAGCCGAGGGCCAGATTAAAGGTGTTGGAGGGCCGGATCTGGCCCCTGGGCTGCATGTTTGACACCTGTGACTTAGACAAATATAAATTATACACTATTAGGAAATTTAAAGAATGAATATGAATGTATTAAATCTTTAAGTAAGCAAATTGTCTTGACATTTTTATTTAAAATAATTATGCAATTTAAAATGTATACAATGTGACGTATATCCAGCATGTGAATAGCCCATAGTTAATACTTCCTATTATTGTTATTATTTTTTCATCGTTTTATTGTTCCTAGTTTGTGAATTTTATTCACTGACTGATTTTTGAAACTGTGCAGGTAAACTTTAATTGAATGCCCTTTTGTTTTTCATACAGCTACCCCCTTACCAATTACACATTTGGCACGAAAGAGCCACTGTATGAAAAAGATGGCTCTGTGGCTGCCAGATTTCAACGGATGCGAGAAGAGTTTGATAAGATGGGAATGAGGAGAACAGTGGAAGGGGTGCTGATCGTACACGAACACAGGCTGCCTCATGTCCTACTTTTACAGCTGGGCACAACCTTTTTCAAATTGTGAGCCTTTCAGATATTATTTCAAGCTTAGTTTGCAATACTAATACAATAAATCGAATAATAATAAATAACAATTTCTCTCTTCAGGCCTGGTGGAGAGTTAAATCCAGGGGAGGACGAAGTAGAGGGTTTGAAACGTTTGATGACAGAGGTAGACTATCTGCCTGGTTATTTGTTTGTACTAGTAAATATCTGCACATATGCATACTTAGTTTCATTGTCTTTTAGATCCTCGGAAGGCAGGATGGTGTCAAACAGGACTGGGTTATTGATGACTGCATTGGCAATTGGTGGCGTCCCAACTTTGAGCCTCCACAGGTCAGGATTTGATAAAAGTACCGGTACTAAAATACTAAAAACAGCAAGATAAGGAGAACATATATTATTTTTATTTGTTTTCAGTACCCTTACATTCCTGCTCACATTACCAAGCCAAAAGAGCACAAGAAGTTATTCCTGGTTCAGCTACAAGAAAAAGGTTTGAATAAATACAATTTATCCCCGTTGGCGATTAAAAAAAAAAAAAAAAAAAAAAAAATCTAATGATGATTTTCATTTATGAATATGCATTGTGGAACAAAAATGTTCATTTCTTTGTCTTTGCAGCTCTGTTTGCTGTACCCAAAAACTACAAATTAGTAGCAGCACCACTGTTTGAATTGTATGACAATGCGCCCGGATACGGACCTATAATTTCCAGTTTACCACAGCTTTTGAGCAGGTATTTTGTGTACAAATCTAAATGGAGGAACTTATTTTAACAAATTAGGACTACTATTAACGTATATTTTTTTACAGGTTCAACTTTATCTATAACTAAAGTGGAATGGATAATATCTAGCTGTCTCTATGAGTGCAGTCTTGGTGTTTGAAGATCCGCAACAATTTGTTGGCAAGCGTGACTGAACTGTCAGTTCACAACTGTGTTTATAATGCTGTTAGAAAAATATGAACATGTAATGTCTCTTGCTTTTTTAATACTGACTTTTGTAGAAGGTATAAGTGTGAAAAACATGTTTTATGCCCTCCAAAAGAGGACAGTATTTGATTAAACAACATGCAACATTTAGTTTTTTCTTTTTACCTTGTAATGTCTGTTTTTCCCTCACTTTTAATAAATCAGTCTTTTTTTATATAAATTGTGAAATTTTTGAAGCTTTAATTTGTGAAACAATGTTTTAAAAGCAAATTTTTATGTGAACTATCTTTCCTTCATCTTAATGGTCACAACAGGTCAGGTTAATTTAGAAATTGGTTTGTTACTTCCTAATCTTTGCGAAATGTTTGACCACCATAATGGAGCCTTACTTCAACATGTTTGTCACCGCATTTATATTATGTTTGAATTATGGGAAACCTTCACAAAAACATAATTTAAAGCCAAGTAAATGCATTCCTTCGATCTTTACCCACTTTGATGTAGCATATATTCCTTATGAGGATGGATTGGTAATTTATTATAAGACCCATTTTAACTTCTATGATCATAAACTCAGCCTGTCAGCCCATATTCGGGGAAAGAATAAAAAAAAGCAACGTCATTAATCCGCGACGCTGTTAGCCAAACGCAGCACGTTTTTGGTCGCAATCAGCTGTCAAATTTGACACTGCTTTTAGAGACGTTTGTATGGATGAACAGACTCACAATTCAACATGACGACGAAAAGACCACAAAACGACTGTGGGAGCGCTGAGAAGAAAAAGAAGAGAAAGAACAGTGCAGAGACGATTGTTGGACTGTGCTCTATTTTGGAAGACGAACAAGTCAAGACAGCAGTGAAGCGAGCATGGAGCCAGAAAACGCACTATACCCGCGGTAATGTTTTTAATTCATCAGCTGTCGGGCTGTACAGTTGTAAACATTGTTCGTAAACATCTTAGTTCTTGGAGAAAGAGTTCTGTTAATGCGGTCCGTATAATAGAGATGCATTAACACAACATTTCCTACAATTCTATATATATTTTACATGCAGAGTTTTTTATTTTTATGTTAAACAGGAGATCTTGAATTGGCTTGCCATCCTTTCCCACACTGCATCATAAGAAATTTTATTGGTGATGACGAGTTTGTAGATAACCTACAGAAAGAATTGCTGGGTCTCAACTTTAATGAGAAATCTAATGATTTATACAAGTTTAAACAGGTATTTGCCAAGTTTACCACACAAATGTTCAGTTGCATGCCTTGAGAGCTATATTTGTGAAAATCCTGGTGCTTCTGTGCAGTCTGATGACCTGAAGAAGAGAAATGAACCTCACATCCAAGGCATAAGGTAATATAGATCAGTTTCGTTTGCAGTGTTGTCTTTCACCACAAGGCGGAGCTATAGATAGATTACTCACCACAACTACTTATTACTTTATTAAATGTACACTTACTACTGTTTTTTATGGATACAAAACTACTTGATTACATTCTTTGCTCAGTTGTTCGGGTGCACAATTACATTATAGTTGGCTGTCAGTTTGTCGAGGCATCACTTGTAATCATAACTACCTCTCTGATTTATTAACCTTCTTAGGATTTATTTTAATTCACAGTAACATGTGTCAATGGATGTCATGGAAGATTAGACACATGTATGCAAATTAGTTGTGGGGTTCCAAGTTCTCAAGTAAAACCACAGTAGTTTGATGATTAAATAGTTTTTTTGTATTTATTATAATTTACAATTTTTATTTTCAGGGCTGTGCTGTTTCAGCAATTTCGGCCATGGCTGGAGGCCATGATAGGGGTGGAACTTGAGAGCACAGTTGACATTTCCTGTGCCAAATATGAATACTCGGGTAACTTTCATCTGTAAATGAATAATCTTGATCAGTTTTAATTTTGGGTGTTCATTTTTTTCTGTATGTGTTTGTGCTTTCTCATTTTAGATATTCTTCTTTGTCATGATGACGAACTGGAGGGGAGACGTGTTGCTTTTATACTGTATCTTGTACCTCAGTGGGACAGTAGTGATGGAGGGACCCTTGATCTG